TTTTTTTTTTTTTTTTACATGACTTAAACTAACCTGACTGGGGTGCACTCAAGAATATTTTTTTTTCATAAGCGAGCAAAAACGTAGATGTAAAATAAGCTCTGGTGCAAACTCGTTAGCTCATGTGGGCACGCCAAAGATGTTTGTAACGAAAGCGATTTCGACAGTCAGTCAAGCTATGAAGCTGAAATTTTACGAGGGTATTCTGTGTCTTTGTGCGATCAAAAAAAAAAAAAAAACTCAGCTTTAAGATATGTCTAGATTTCGCGTGCATGCAAATAAAATTTAATTTGGGACAATGTTGACATCCGATTAACTCGATAACCAGAGTGAGCAAAAAGCAGTATTATTCTGAGGATGTTTGCTGTTAATATGCGGACCACCAAGCGTAAGCTGAGCTTCTGCCTAGGCATATTCCTAAAAGGTGTAGCTGCAGTACCGCACTTACACTCCTGTAGTATGTGAGAACGCTATACAGAAGAGAGCTGTGCAAAAACGCATGATCGCACCGGCAAGCCTAGTGCATCGCCACTTAGATTTTTCCTCAAAGTAAAATGTTCTGGCCTTTTTTATTCTCTTCTTTATACTCTCTGGAAAACTTATATTATTAACTTGTTGAAAAATAATAAATTCCCAAGGTGTTTCCTAAAAAATTTCTGAAAAATTCGCAACCGCTGTGTTCCCCTACAGTGTCACTATGCTCTGCTTTCCCGAAGACTATGTCCTCTAGCAAAAATCAGCTATAGCTTTTTCGTATTTTTGACGTGCGAATTTTATGAAGAAAATGTTCTTTCATTGATAACAGCGAGGCCATTCGCAGTGCTTCTAAGAAAAGTCCTTGGACTGATGCTTCAATCAGTCCAAGGGTAAGACCAAGACAGTGCTCCATCAGCACCCCTGCCTTATTGGCTATTAAACATGGCGAGTGCTGTGTTCTTCGAGACACTTACCTGAATTGTTCCAAAGAAAAATGTAAAAAAAAAAAAAAAAAAAACGTACTGTATTGGATTTCAAGTCGGTAAAATCCCGCTGGGAGACCATTTTTGAAAACGGAAATTTGTTTCAGTGAGCGATAGTTTTTTCGAAATTTAGGCAGTGCAGCCGGTGACATCCAGACGATAAAATCAGTATTTTCCAGGCCAATACCAAGTTCGGTTTCTACCTTGTACAGTTCATCCTGTACACCAAGTTGACAAATTTCGTGAGGCCAGTCAGGTGGTTTCACTGTATGCTTCAAACAGTTACATTATAAGTTCATCAGTCTATTCATCGTCATTAGCAGAGACAGAACTGTATGGCCCTGGATATAATTAGCGTTATTTGTTATAAATTACGCTCACATGAAACTTTTTTTTAATTTGTCTTTTCACGTTCTCTTTATTCTGTTATGTTTATTGCTACGACCTCTCTTCTCAATGCACCCAGTCTTTATATTTTCAGTACTAGGGTGTAATCGCAAAACAACTCCCTTTTTTGGAAACTCATAAATTTTTGGCAAACTAGCAGTGTTTTAGTATTTTTATTTGTTCTACTTTACACTCCCATAATGCGAATAAGTTTTTCTTGTTAAGTGGATAAAACAGTAATTGATGGGTAAAAAATATTTTTCTAACTTACATCTCCCACCCCTTCTTCCACCATCCTCTCCCACTCACAAAAAAAAATTTGAATTTCCCCTAACAAACTGCACAGGTTTGCCCCTTTATAAAAAGAATTTTAGCTAATGTAAATGAACGAAATGATTTCGAACAATCTGATTTAATCGAGTTTCGTGGCAGTTTAGTACTCAATCGCCGCAATTTTATGCGTTTTGTGCTGCAACAGTTGTACAAAACGCATACTTTCGAATGTGTTTGTGTGTTATGAGTGCATTTTATCCGCAGGTTTCAACTTGGGAACCAGAGAAGCCGAGAGGTTAAAATCTGAGCTGCCCACGTGCAACTTCGCAATTCGAATTCAGCTTTCACGTAATCCGGGTGCCACATACGGCCCCGCGAAAGTTTTGGCTGGAAGAATTGTTATCTCAATAGCGAGAAGAGCTGAGAGGCTGAAACTTCAGGAGGATGTTTTCTGCTTATGCAGGAGCCTAACAAACTCTAACTTTGTTCCCAAGTATGACGAGTACACACATAAGACCATCTGAAAGTTTTGGTGTGGGACTCGGAAGCTGGAGAACTAGGAGGTAGGAATTTTAGAACTATGCTTATCGTCTAAGGTTTCAGCTTCCACGTAGGTTTGCGTTTCAACTAGTGGTGCGTGAAATTTTTAGCGTGAAATTTTGCAAGTTAGGAACCAAACAGCATATCGACTGTTTTCTCACAAACTGAAGTGTAAAATATTGAAAATTTTTAGGAGGTGAATGTCCACTGGTTGGAACTGCGCAAAATGCCTAATCGCACCGGCTACTCTTGTACGCGCCCTATTTATTCAAGTCTTTTCGACGTTCTGATGATACACGAATGTAAATAAATAGAGCCGCGCACCAGGATAGCTGGTGCGACCGTGCGTTTTGTGCAACCCTATCCAGCGAACCCTCGTACATTCCTCTTCAGCAGACGCTTTTGCAGCCCTGTCCAGCTGATGCTTCTGCAACACTGTTCAGGATAAACTTGCTGTTACAAGTGCATTACCGCTTAATAAGTTACGTGTTAATTTCGGCATCAAAATGTTTGTGGTTTTCGAGTTATTAATTTTGGCACCAAAAATTTCACTTATCCATGCGTGAAACCTAAGCGCGCGCGAGGATGAATTTATACACAGGCATGAAGCATTATCTTAAAGCTTCAGCCTTCTAGCTTTTTTGGCTCCTGAACTATTAATATTGGCGCTAGAACTTTCACATACCAAAGCCAGAAAGTTAGGCACGAGCAAGGTCTGAACTTGTACGTGAGGAGGAGCATTATTCTGAAATTTTAGCTTTTCGGCTTACCTGGTCCCCGAGTTATTAATTTTGATGCCGAAAATTTCGCGTGTCTCCACGTGAGATCTAAGAATGCGCGGAGAGGGGAGGATGAATTTCAGTCTGCGGGTTCGTAGGCAGGCAAAGTATATTCTCCTAATATTTCAGCTTTCTAGCTTTTCTGGTTCCTGAGTTAATAATTTTCACGCCAATATTTTTACGTGGCTGTACACGAGACCTAGGCGCACTTGAAGGCTGGATTTAATTTTTTCGGGTTACACGTGGGCAGGGAGCGTTGCCCTATAATTTCAGCTCCCTGATTTCTGTGGTTCTCTAGTTATTAATTCTGGCGTCAAAAATTTCGCGTCTCCACATCTGAGAATTAAGCGTGCGCAGAGCTGAATTTATACGTGGGCAGGGGAAGCACTATGAGATCTAGCCTCCCAGCTTCCCTAGTTCTCGAGTTAATAATTTTGGTGCAAAAAATTCCACGCATCCTTATGTGAGATCTAGGCATGCGAAGCATACGTGAGAAAGGAACATTTTCCTAAAATTTTAGCCTCATATCTTCCATGCTTCTCGAGTTGTTGATTTAGGCGCCAAAATTTTCACACGACCATACGTGAAGCCTAGACGCGCGGACGCTGAATTTGAGTTTGCTAGTTCACACGTGGGTAGGGGGGTCCCTCCTTAAAATTTCAGCTCCCTAGCTTCTTTGATCCCCGGGTTGAAACCACCGGATAAGATGCATTCGGAACAC